AAAAAAAAAAAAAAAAGAAAGAAAGAAAGAAATAGAAAGATGTTAATCAAATAATCACAGCACCAGACACATAATTATAAATCATTTTCTAAAAATGCTTCATGGGAGAAGTTAAAAGAGCTCTGAGAATATATAATCTAATCTGGGGTTCCAGAGAAACCTTTCCCGAGGAAGTAGCCTTCGACTTGAGAGCTGAGGTTGACATTATACCATTTAGGAAGGTGGCTGGGGCTAAGTTTTGGAGTGACTCTTGATGCGACTACAATCAACACACGTCTCAGCAGACACCAGTGATGCCGTACAACTGGAAAGGATTCTTTCATAAAGCATGAGGTTTCTTGGTCACATTCTTGGCTCACAGCTGAATTCCACATGAGCATTATCCCTCTCTGGGCTATTAGTGCTCATGTGACTTTGTGTAAAGCACAGATAATTGGAAGGCAATCACTGGACCTCTTTTTCATCATTATCTTCCCCATCCACTTTGTGTTTCTAAACCAGAGTTGCTAACCACTAGTAGCAAGCCTTGATTTGTGGTTTCCCATCTGTCCTGGCTCACGGACATGACTCACATAGGCCAGAGGACATGAGGTGTGTGGATAACACACAGATTGTCTGAGCATTCTGGGGTCACGGAGATGCCCCATGGTTACTGTTCATGTGGAATCACATCCCAGAAGCTCCAGCCACATCCATCCTCTGCAGATAAACCCACTTTCCAGTTGCTCACAGCACCATTGTTAATTTTCCACAACCATCTGGGAAAAGTAGTATCTTCCCACTCCACAAAACATGTGGCAGGGCCGGGTGCTGTGCCTCACACCTGTAAATCCTAGCACGTTGGGAGGCCGAGGCTGGCGGATCACTTAAGATCAGGAGTTTGAGACCAGCCTGGCCAACATGGTAAAATCCTGTCTCCACTAAAAATACAAAAATTAGCCGGGCTTGGTGATGGGTGCCCGTAATCCCAGCAACTCAGGAGGCTGAGGCAGGAGAATCACTTGAACCTGGGAGGTGGAGGTTGCAGTGAGCTGAGATGGTGCCACTGTACTCCAGCCTGGGCAACAGAGCAATACTCCGTCTCAAACAACAACAACAAAAACATGGTGGGGGGAAAGGGTTAACACCCTAGACATGGTAGCCAAAGTTATCTGCTTCTAAGTAATAAATGCGAACACCTATTGCTCTCGGATTTCAAAAGTATATTGAACGAAAGAGTGTGCTTAAGAAAGATGTCATCTAGGCTAGGAAAGCTCTTGATAGTCTTGAATTAAGGGCAGAGATGCTCAAAGTTATCTTTGACCCCCCCCTTTCCCTGAATGCCGTAGCTTCCCCCAAGCCGTACCCACACCTCCCACCATCCAGGCTCCCAATGCTGGCAAATCCTCCTCTTTAAAATTGAGTTTTTAAAATTTTTTAAACAACTTCTCTTTTTAAAAAAAATAGAAATGGGCTGTCTACGTTGGCCAGGCTGGTCTCAAATTCTTAGCTTCAAGCAATTCTCCTGCCTCAGCCTCCGAAATCCCTGGGATCACCCCTGGCCCAAATATTTCTCATGTCTCCAAAGTCCTTTCCCTTCTTTCCTGTCCTATATCTGCCTTCCTCCCTAGGTCCTCGTTCTTTCATTTGGTTCTCATTCTTCCATTATGGGTGTCATAAACGATGCCTATTATTCACCCACACCAACGCTTTACGTGTTTCTACTGATCCATGTCACCTGCCTGAAGACCCTGGCTCCTTGCTGGACACAGGACCAAGTCTGTGCCCTTCACCTTGATGTTCAAAGATTTTCGGGCTGTGCTTCCACTTTCCCCCAGCTCTTCCTCCTCCAGTCCTGCCTCTGCAACATCGTGAGCCTCTCCTGGGTCCCAGCCCACCAATCCAGCCTTCAGCCTTGCTCACTGCCCCTCCTTTTTCCCTCCCCACTATCAGCCTCCCAACTACCCTTC